TTCGTCTCTCATACTTCGGACATATTGTCAGGAATGAGCGGTTGCTGGAGAAGGATATCATGTTTGGTAAGGTGGAGGCTCAGAGAAAAGAGAAAGAGCCCCAGTGAGATGGATTGGCCAAGAGGCAGCATCAAATGGGCTCAAGTGTGACAACAATTGTGAGCTTGGCCCAGGACTAGGCAGTGTTTTGTTCTGTTGTGCACAGGATCGCTATGAATTGGTACCGACTGGATGACACGGCACCTACCACCACCACCAACAAATATTAAAGGTAATATTTTGGATCTCGTGGACTTTTTTCATTTTCTTCAGCAGCGGCCTTAATATGCATTTGATCAATTGATGGTCTGTTCCACAGTGTGTCACTGGCCTTGCTTTTGCTGATGATAATGGAGCTTTTCCACTATCTCTTTTTTCAGGTGTGGTCGATTTGATTTCTGTGTATTCCATATGGTGAGGTCCATGTGTATACTTGTCTTTTATGCTGTTTAAAAAAGGTATTTGCAATGAAGAATTCATTGGTCTTGCAAAATTATATCATGCAATCTTCAGCATCGTTTCTATAACCAAGGTCGTATTTTCCAATTTCTGCTCCTTCCTGCTTGTTTCCAACCTTTGCATTCAAATCACCAGTAATGATCAATACATATTGATTGAACGATCAATTTGAGACTGAAGATGTTGACAGAATTCTTCAATTTCATCATCACTGGCTATAGTGGTTGGTACATAAATTGGAATTATGGCGGTATTAAATTGTCTTCTTTGTTTGTGTTGTTGTTAGATGCCATCAAGTCAGTACTGACTCATAGCAACCTTATGCACAACAGAACAAAACACTGCCCCGTCCTGGGCCAACCTCACAATTGTTGCCACACTTGAGCCCATTGATGTTGCCACTTTGCCAATCCGTCTCACTGTGGGTCTTCCTTTTTTTTTCTGACCCTCCTCATTACCAAACATGATATCCTTCTCCAGTGACCAGTCCCTCCTGACAATATGTCCAAAGTATGAGAGACTAAGTTTGGCCATTCTGGCCTCCAAGGAGCACTCTGGCTGCACTTCTTCCAACACAGATCTGTTGGTTCTTTTGACATCCCATGGCACTTTCAATATTCTCCTCCAACACCATAACTCAAAAGCATCAATTCTTCTATGGTCTTCCTTATTCATTGCCTAGCTTTTGCATGTATATGAGGTTGTTAAAAATACCATGGCTTGGTTCAGGCGCACTATTATTGTATCACAAACAGCATTGTACCTCATGACTGCTGTTGATAAGTTCTGTTTGAAAATGAATGTGATGCCATTCCTCTTCAATTTGTCATTCCCAGCATAGCAAACCATGTGATTGTCAGATTCAAAATGGCCAATACCAGTTCATTTCAGCTCACTAATGCTTAGGGTATCCGTGTTTATACATTCCATTTCATTTTTTTTTTGGACAATTTCCAGTTTTCTCAGATTCATACTTTGTACATTCCATGTTCTGATTGTTAATGGATTATTACAGTGGTTTCTTTTCATTTTGAGTTTGTACCATCAGCAAATGAAGGTCTGGAGGGCTTTACTGCATTTGCATTGTCATGGCCAACTCTATTTGAGGAGGCAGCTCTTCCCCAGTCACATTTTGAGTAACTTCTAAACTAAGGGCCTCATTTTCTGGCTCTATATCTGACAATATTCCGGAGCTCTTCACCATGTTTCAGTTCAACATTCTGGCACTATCTGACAGTTTCCACTGTTATTCAAAAGGTTTTCAGTGACTAGTTATTCAGAAGTAATCTCTCCTTCTTCCTAGTCTGTCTTTGTCAGGAAGCTTAGCTGAAACCTGTCCACTGTGGGTAACCCTGCTGATATTTAAACTATCAGTGGCATAGCTTCCAGAATCATAGCAACACACAAGCCACTACAGCATGACAAAGTGACAAACGAGTGGTGGGTTGACAATTTAGTGGCACCAATTTTGTGACTTACGTTGCCTTACTTTCATAAATTTTTCATCACAAATTTCCATCACCATAAACAGAATCTCAATGTTTTCTAAACAATAACTTCCCCTTTTTTATTATGGTCTTTGTTTAATGACTGTCTTCCCTCACCTCTCCCAAGTCCCAGCATGTCAGCTTCAAGAAGAAAAGAATGTATTACATCTATTCACTGATGTGCCTACGTCAGTGCCTGGCACATAGTAAGTGTTCAATAAATCTTTGCTGAAAGAATAAGTGAACATCTAGTATTGTTTATGTGCCTAGGATGGTCTGAGGGTTTGACATACATTACCTTGTTTTATTATTACAACAACCATTTGAGGAAGGCCCTGGACCTGTCATTGCCCCCCTTTCACAGAGGAGAAAACTGAGGCTTTTAGCAGCTACACACCTGCCTGAGTGTCTCTCCTCCCCACATCTCCTGCCCACTGGCAGAGTCAGCAGTTTTGCTGGCCACCACGTCAACAAACATTTCTTACCTCCCTTGGGATCAAGAAAGATGGTGGGCATCTGCAGTGGGAAGTGGTTAAGAAGGGAAGCTGTGCTGGCCTAGGGACCTGACTTGAAGAAACTTTAGCAGGAACCAGTAGAGGCTAAAAATGGCGGGGTGCCACATGTTCCTGTTGGGAGGAAGTCCAGTCAAGTCCTATAAAGATGAAGACTAAGTTCCAAAGTGATGCCCCAGCCCTAGGACACAGCTGCCCAGCCAGGGAGGCTGTAACTGCCCTTCCCTCAAAGCCAGTCCAGCCCAACAAGGGCGGAGCTCTGCAGATGGTCTCCGGCTCCCTGGTGCCAGAAATCAAGACCAAGGAGATGCGAAGGAAGGAAGTGGGCGGAGCAGATTGGGGCTGGAGCTAATTAATATCTATGCCCAGGGCTGGGTGCCCACACTGCCATGGACAACTCCGGGTACAGAAAGTGGAATGACAACTCTGAAGATGTCCCCAGAGGTATGTTTGATCAGGCTGCCTCTCTGGTCCCCTTCTGGAAACTTCTCTGGTCCATTGTATGGAGTTTGATGAGGGCCAAGAGGAAGAGCTAAGAAGGGTCTAGGTACTGGGTTCAGGAGAGCCACCACCGGCCCTAGAGCCAGGTGGTCCTAGGTTAAAATCACTTAGAGACTGGGTGATGGGAACCTCTCTGAACCTGAATTTCTAGGAAAGGACATAAGTGTCCAGGGCTCAGTCCAGGGGGATCCAGGAATCTGGGTTGACCCTGGTACAGGGAGTTCATGAGTCTACCTATGTCACCAGGACACTGGGCATGCTGGGAGCACTGGAGATATAAGTCCTTGGCGAAACTAGCTCCTGTGGTCGTCTTAGGCCTATGGGTCCTGGTTTTGAGCATCCTATTGTCCAAGGGTAAGGACCTACTCTAGGATGGGGGAATCTGCATGCTACCTCCCTGAGAACATGCTCACTAGCTGGGTCCCAGACCCTTGCCTGGGAATGAGTTTGTGAGTTCTGTAAATGCACTTGCCTGAGTATGTGTGCATGTTCCCCTGTGTGTTTTTCTTCTCTCCGCGGCTTGAGTGCATTCTATGTCTGCCTGCACTTTCTGGATATCCCGAGACTGGGGTCCTGGCACCTCCAAGCGGGGTTCCCGAGTCTCCAGGCTCGCCTTCAGCACTTCCTTCCTCAGCCTCCAAGGAGCGCGGGGAGCTACTCGACCATCAGGACCTGCTGAAGGCAAACGGTGAGTTTGGGACGGTGGTGTCAGGTCCCCGGGTCTGGCCCTAAGATAGGGAAAGTTTTCCCCTGAATTCCCACGGTGACTCCTTCGTGTATGTGTGCGTGTGTTCCAGCCTCGAAGCAAGCGACTACGTTAGAGGTTCTACAAAAGAAGGTCGGATCCTGCAGGACGTCTTGTGAGCCGAACACTGGTTCAAACTTGAGGCTTGAGGGACTGTGGTTTGTGGCCAGGCGGCTGAGAGTAGCATTCCGGGAGTGGGAGGGGCTTGTGGTAAATAAGGGTGGGGCAGGCTGCTCTCAGGCCTCGCCCTTGCTCATCCTCTTCTTCCATCTTTCCAGGCTCTGAGGCGCAGGCGCAGCTGCAGACCACACAGGCGGAGCTCGGGGTGGCACAGAAGACGTTGCTGGAGCAGGGGAACGCCCTCAGTGAGCTGCGTGAACGCGGTGAGGACGAGCAGTGGCCACCACCCTAGATCCTGACCGCGGCCAGACCTGACCAGACCCTCAGTTTACCTCCCAATCCCACTGTGACTCTGTTCGACCCCATCCTGTGTGCCTGTCCTCTCCCGCTGTGCTCTGACCTTGACCACAGTTCCCAATCACCACTGGACCCTACTTACTCTAACCGCCCTTGATCTCGGTGTCATTGTTGATGCTGGTGCGGACCTCGACGGTTCCCTCTGACGTGGGTCCCGACCATTTCCCAGACAGGACTCTGCTTCTGAGTCTGACCGCGGTTATAATCTCGGCTCCCCTGGCCCCACAGTGACCAAGGATGTGGCCCAGGCGTGCAGGGACCATGAGGACATCCGCAGTGAGCTGCTCCGAGCACTGGAGTCCGCCAAACTTGGGAACCGTGAGCACTGCGGGGGGCACATGGATGTTGCACATGGGCCTCTGGGTCCCTGATCTTTCGACCTTATATTTTGGGGTAGACGACCCGGTTCTCTGGCACCAGCTTTGGGTCCTGGGGTCTAGTTCACCTTATTCTCTGGGTCTGTCCCACTTTGGCGTGGAGGGATTGTTCTTGAACAGAGTCCATCCTCACAGACACCTGCGAGCCGTGCCCCACGTCGTGGATGCCATTCGAGGGCTCCTGCTACCTTTTCTCGGATACGCAGGTCAAGTGGGAAGCTGCGCAGAAAAGCTGCGTAGACGCTGGCGCGCATCTGGTGATCGTGGGGGGTCTGGAGGAGCAGGTGCGTCACGGGCTAGGGAAGCAGCTGTGCACCTGGGGCCGGGGGCTGGGCGCGAAACTGCAGTCTCCAGTCTCCTCTCCTTCTTAGACCTTCCTGACAGCGAACACGCGTGGATTCGGCTACTGGCTGGGTCTGAAGGCGGTGCGACACCAGGGCAAGATCCAGAGCTATGAGTGGGTGGACGGCGTGCAGCTCAACTTCAGGTGAGAGAGAGGCTCCCCAAGACTTTGAGAAGCGGGCAGTTCAGGCCCCTGGGAGATGCTGTGGCCTGATTTCAGGGACCCTTTTCCTTAGGGCAGTTCAGGCTAGACTTCCGGAACGGGCTGAAGAAAGTGTATCCCAGGAGCTCAAATTACACTCGTAGGGTCCCTACAGTTTTGTGCTGACTAGTCAGTTCCAACTCATAGGGACCCTGTGTTTCAAGAGCTGCTGGTTGGTTTGAACTGCTGACCTTGCAGTGAACAGTTCAGTGCCTCTCCTACAGCGCCACACCAGGGCTCAGGGTGCCTAGGTTAGACCCAAGAAATAACCGGCTAGGCTCTGGGAAGGAAAGCTGGATCTTCAGCAACACGCTATCCTACCCTGCAGCCACTGGAACGTGGGTGAGCCCAATGACTCGCGGGGGGTCGAAAACTGCATCATGATGCTTCGAACGGGGCTGTGGAATGATGCACCGTGCGACAATGAGAACGACAACTGGATCTGTGAGAAAAGGCGCAAATGCTGACCTGACCCTCTCACACTCTGTAGCCACGCCTACCTCGATCAATTTCCCCGCCCACCCTTTGGATCCTCTACCTAACCTCAACAAAGTCAGTCTGTCACTGGCCCTTAGGACCATTTTCGTCAGCTTCCAAATCTCATTTCTAGCACCTCCGTTTAGGGTATAAGACTTGGGTGCTTTGACCCCACCTCCCTTCCTAACAGTTAGGTCAACTCAAGAATGGAGTTGTTTGTTGTCCCTGCATTTCCCCCCAGACTAGGTAATCTTCAAAGCCCAAGGGAGCATCAATAAATATTTGAGAACTTAATCTTGGCTTCTGTTCTAAGCTTTACATTATTCCAGCGCCTCTCTTAGGATTCCTGTGAGTGGCCCCAGACCTCTTTGTTGTCCAGTCAGTTCCAACTCATAATGACTCTATATAGGGTTCCCGAGGAGCAGTTGGTGAGTTTGGACCACCAACCTTGCGGTTCGAATCTACACAGAGGCATATTGGAAGACAGGCCTGATGGTCTGCTGCTTAAAATTTCAGTCACTGAAAACACTGCTGATACACACAGAGGCACTATTCTGACACATGTAAAGGTACCATGAGTCTGGGTCAACTCAAGAATAACTGGTACTGGTGATCTACCCATGCCAGGAGGCCTTGGAAGCATCCCTCTGGCAAGGGATGCAGAGTTAGATCAAACAGACTCCTCACCAGAGCCTCCCCCATCACAGGAAAACAATGCCAGGGCTCTGGGTCCATTTCTTCAGCATCCTCTTCTACATCATGGTTGGGAGATGGCTGCTACAGTTCCAAACATCACATTTTTGTCTAACTGTCTTCACAAACAAGCACAAGGGAACTCCTTCTAAATAATCTGTTTTGTTTTAATATTTATTGTAAATATATACAATGTTAAGTGCCATCAAGAATGTTCCAACACATAGTGACCCTATATGCAACAGAACAAAATACTGGCCCATTCTGTGCCATCCTCACAATTGTTAACACTTGAGTCCATTGTTGCTGCCACCGTATCAATTCATCTTGTTGGGGGTCTTCCACTTTTTCACTGACCCTCCACTTTGCCAAGCATGATGTCATTCTCCAGGGTCTCTATGAGTCGGAACCAACTGTACAGCACTTAACAACAACAACGATGCTCTGCCACATTCATGAATACGGTAGTAACAAAGGTAATATACAGCATGTACAAATATCTTCTGTCAAACCTTTCTATATTCGTGTGTGTACTCCCTCCACCTGTTCAGCCTGTATCTGTCCACATGTCTAACTGTAGATCACTGTTATTGCAGATTGTGCTTTCACAGTTTTTACCTATAGTTAGAATTCTCCCACATATGTAGTCTGACATCAAAGGGTATCCACATCTAGAACATCGTTTGCCAAGGGGGAGTGGGCGGCTTGAAACCACTTAGGGTTTTCAAAGATAAGAGTGTGTTCTACCCATGTATTCACCAGAGTTAGAAATGTTGTGTGCTTATTCTTGACATGAAAGATGTGTACATTGCATCGTATGTAATTCTACATGAAAGAAAAGTGGAAAAGGAGATCATAAACAAATGTTGTTGTTGTTAGGTGCCATTGAGTCGGTTCTGACTCAAAGCCACCCTGTGCACAATAGAACAAAACACTGCCTGGTCCTGTGCCATCCTCACAATTGTTACGCTTAAGGCCATTGCTG